GAAGAAATTTCAGCGATGATATTACTCTAATCGTTTGAGGAGAGTCAAGCCACGGTTAAAAAAAACAATCTATAACTAGCGGAACTTGGATATAGTTTTTGTAGAGAGATGAACAAAATACCATACTTAGCCGGTAATAAAGACTATTCCGATAAAACGGAAACTATATATCCGATTAAAATTGGAAATTATTTATATACTAGTTTAGCACCCGTCCGATGGACGGGTTATCTTTATTTAAAATTAAATTAAAATTAAAATTTATTATAACTTACAAAAAAATAATTTCCAAATTTTTTTTTGAAAAAATAAGAGAAATTAATTTCATTTGGAAAGAAATTTTATTTGGTTTGAAGTATCAAATAAACGTATATATATATATATATATATATATTAAAATTCGTTATTAAACATTAATTATAAAAATCTAGTAATGTCAAATTGACAATCACCAAAACATTTAGGAGCTATTCACCATTACTCATAATATTGCTAGAATATATAAAAAAATCTTAATTTAGCAATTATCCTCTAAAACATGATTATACCATTTTGTAAAAAAATTTATTTCTTAACTTTCAATTTTTCAAAAAATCATTCTCTGACTATGAAAATTAATTAATTATTATTTAATATGATGGTAAAGTTCTTTCAAATTAACATCAATCTAAATAATGATGTTAAATACAAATATAGTCATTTGTAAATAAATTCATATAAACAACGCAAATAAACATAAAGATTCTAAAATAAATTATAGCATCGTTGAGGAAAACATTAAAAATCTTTCAAATACGAATTATAAAAAACTACATATTTTCTTTAAAAATATTTTAAAATCACTATATTACGATTTATATTGAACTTGGTTATCTTTAATTTAAGATAAAAATATTATTTTCGAAAATATTTTATTCACCCTTATGTTTTAGACAATGAAATTGCTCAATGGCATAATACATTTATAAATAAATTAAAAACTAAAAAAAAAACATATTATAAAATAAAAATCATGAATAAAATTTTGTATTTAGTTAAACTCAAAATCTAATTTATTTGTAAACTGTAAATCCTAAATCTCCTTTATGAACCCAAACTGATAAAAACCTTGTTTAATTGTAAAACCTAAATCTCACTCCTCTTTAATAAACTAAAACCGATAAATAATCTCGTTTAATTATAAAATCTAAACTATAATGCAGATTTATAAACTCAACATATAACCCTTATAATTGTAAAACCTACAACTGGCAAAACCAAAAATTATGTTAATAGTTGAAAGAGAATTTTTGAGAAATATCACTTTTGGTGTACCCTTTTTTAAAAATACACAATTTTTCTATCCTTTTTAAAAATATCCCTTTTCAAATCTGAAAAATTGTAAACTTTTATATAGTTTATAAGGTACATCTAGATTATCATTACTATTGGGAGACTCAATACAAATATTTATAAAGTTTTAAAAAGGTTCTAAACGGCATTTATAAGACTTTTATAAGGTTTTATAAGGTTTACAAAGTTTTTATATATTTTTAAAATAGTTTTTAAAAGGTTTTTAAAAGGTATTTATATGGTATTTAAATTTACACACATAGAAAGATAATTTGTGTCTAAATATATAAGCTTACACTTTTTTTTTTATAAATATCAATTTTTTTTCCTTTTTAATTATCAAAAATACCCTTTTTCTATACCACTTTTTAAAAATATCCCTATTCCAAACTTCATAAAAAAACCACTTTAAATGTTGAAATTTATCCAAATATGTGTGTAAACTTATAAATATACACACAAGTTACCTTTATATATGTTTAAATTTTTATATATATTTCATAAATAGCGTAAAATAACTTATAAATACCTTTTAAAAACCTTATAAACCCTTTTAAAAACCACTTAAAAACCTTATAAAACTTGTAAAAACGATTTAAAACCTTTTAAAACATTATAAAATATTTGTATAAAATTTCCAAATAGTAGTTATTATATAGAAGTACCTTATAAACCATATAATACTTTAGAATTTTTCATATTTAAACATGGATATTTTTGAAAATGGATAGATAAAGGAGATATTTTTGAAAAGGGGTACACCAAAAGGGGTATTTCTCAAAAATTCTCTTTAATTTTTTTATAATTACTTTTTAACTGTTGTTTAAAATATTTATTTGTATCTTAATATTAACAAAATTAGATAAAACATGTTGCGACATCTTATGTTTTTACTTGACACTTATCATGGTCACGTGAGTTAGTAAATTTAAAAAACCAAGTTTTGACATATAATCTCGTTTAATTTTTAAAATTAAACCATAATTTTAATTTATAAAGATAAACCATAATTCTTATTTATCATTTATATACCCAAACCAACAAATAACCTGATTTAATTGTAAAATTAAAGTTTAAACCTTAATCCTCTTCTGTAAACAAAAACCACCATATATTCTTGTTAATTATATATTTTAAATCCCTATCTTATTAATAAACCAAATTGACATAACTAAAATTAGGTTATTTGTTTAATTTTATTAATAATTTTTAATATATAATTCTTTATAATATTTATTTTATATATTTCATTTTTCGATAGGATTAATAATATTTCTATTTTATCCAAATATTAACTAAATTAGTTACGACTCGTGTCAACATCTTATCGTTTATAATTGACACGTGTCATGATCTTCTTTATAATATTTATTTTATATATTTCATTTTTCGATAAGGTTAATAATATTTCTATTTTATCCAAATATTAACTAAATTAGTTACGACACGTGTCAACATCTTATCGTTTATAATTGACACGTGTCACGATCTTGTTAATGGCTGACTTTGAAAACCAAGGTTATATAATAAGATAATATAATAAAATTAGAAAAGATTTCGGTTAACTGGAAATAACTTTCTCTTTCTAAGAGATAAGGATGTGTAAAGAGAAAGAAAGCAAAGATAGAAAAACTCATCTTTTTATTGTTAAGATTTACACATCAACAACAAATATATTCAATTATAATTAATCGTTTTTTTTAATTTTTATTTAATTCAGACTACATTTTGAGAATTTGGCAAAACTAACCAAGAAAAAAACAAAAATTAAATATCTAACTACTCTAACCATATAATTATGATATTCTCTATATAAACTACAATATTTACCATTTTATCCTTTTCACTACCATTCCCTACTTTTTTACTACCACCAACCCCCTTACCACCACCACCCTCCACCACCATCATCTCCTACCCTCTTACCACCACCACCTCTGACCACCATTATTAATTTCGGTCACCGTCTCCGGCCACCATCTATGGCCACCGCTTTCGGCCAGCTACCGTCTCTGGCCACCGCTTTCGGCCAATGTCTCCGGTCACCGCCTCCGGCCACCGTCTCCGGTCACCGCCTCCGGCCACCATTTCCGGCCACCGCTACCTTCCATTACCACTACTACTACCAATACTAAAATAGTAATTTTTCCTACCCTTCATCTTATTCTCCTAATTTTAGTAAATATGGTGTTATAAATTTTGGGGCCGATTGATTGTGACTTTTAAAGCTTTAAAACAATTTTAAAGTCTTAACAACTATATTTTTGCCAATCAAGATTTTTTTTTTTTTTTAAAGCCTCTAAAGCCACTTTATTTTTTTCTTCTTTATTTTCTCTTTATTCTTAAAGCCTCAATATCACGGCTGTAGAAACTTTAGAACAAATAAGTTTTAAAAATTATTTTTTCTTTTCCCTATAATAATTAGAAACTCTCTATAGATTTATATATATTTTTTTCAAACTTTTTTTTGTAAATTAATTATGAGCATTTTTTTTCCTTTCTTTTGACATCCACTTTTCTTTATAAATTTAATATTTTCAATATCACAATTGTATTTTCTTATATTATAATAAACTTTATTTATTTGTCACTATGTTACATATGGATAAATATTGATCATTATATATTTATAAAAATTATATATAATAGCAAAAAACAAATTCAATTTTAACCGTTAAAGTGTCTACAGCAAAAGTATCTACAGCAAAAGTATCTACGGCGAAAGTCTTTACACTCACTGACTCTCTACAGCCACAATAACCGGCCTCTTTATTCCTCTTTTTGTAACGGTTAGTTGCTAATTGCCCCTATATTTTTGATTTGTGAAAAAAGTCGAAATTAGAATCTGGTCAAATCTGTTCTTAAAATGGGCTTTGATTCTCGTATTGATCACGCTTTTACTCTTTGGTTCTAAATCCTAATAAAGACTTTTACTTCTCACCTCACATTTGTCTCACTGAATTTAACGACTCTACAACGTCGGTAGAGTTCCCACCACAACGTATCTACGGACACGTGCACTTTACCTTCAAGTTTCACTCACCGACACGTGTCGGTAATTTCACCATCAAAGTAAACAAACTCAATAATGTCAAAAATGTCACACAGTAGTACCCAGTTTCCACGGCACCTATTTGTGCCATAAAAATCAAAACTTTATTATTATCTCTATCTCTTGCGTTGTCCCGAGAGACATTAGAAGAAAATAAAAATCAAAACTTTATTGTTTTGTAATAACTCTCTCTCTTTTGGAGAATTTTTACATAAAAGTTTTTGTAGATTCTCTGATCAGAAATCGTGTAAAAGTTTTCTTACACTTTACTTATTGAAGAATTAAAGTAAGTAAACAGTTTTATTCTTGTTTCCTCCATTAAACATGATGCAAAGATTGTACAATTCTAGTTTTTTTTTTCTTGGTTAAAAAAACAAAAATAATTCATTTATTCTTGGAATTTACTAGTTGCGTTTGCTTTGTTCTTCTTGTTTGGTTGTTTTAATTGTTTTGATTCTTTTCTCTCTCGTTAGGTGAAGTGTACATCTCTCTCTCTCTTTCTCTCTCTATCTCTCTCTTTCCTGACCAAGTTCTTGTGGTGAATATTGAAGAGCTTTAGAGATTTTATTTCTCTGGTGAATAAAAGTTTGTGAATTTGTCTTTGTTTGCTTTGAGTTTCTTGAATTGTTTTTTTTGGGTGTGTGGAAAAAAGTTGTTTTTTTTTTTTTTTTTTACTTCTTTTAGTATCTTGTCTTTCCAATTCTAGTAACTTCACTGGTTCTTGAGCTCTTTCTCTTTCAGCTTTTTTATTTTTCAGATCTCTGTGTTTTTCTGATCTTTCTTCAGTTGGAGTTAGTAGTAAGTGATTGTACTTTTAAAGATTTGGAACTTGTGGTTCTTGCTTCATAGACTTTGGCTGTCGTTTTGTGGATTCTTAAGTTCTTTTGGGATTGTTTTGTTCATCTGGGTTTGTTGGATCTTTGAGTTTTCTTCATTTATGTATCATCTCTTATGGATCTTGATTGAAAACGAGGGATCTTTGTGATTGTTTCATTAGAAAGTTTGAGTTTTTTTTGTTTTTGGGTTCTCAGATTTTGATGATTAAATGATCATTTTGGTGTATTTGCTTTGTAGATGGAAGAAGATTGTGAGTTTAGGCATTGGGATGAGTTGATACCAGACGCTCTTGGTTTAATCTTTAGCCATTTACCTCTTCAAGAAGTTCTAACAGTTGTGCCTAGAGTTTGCAAAGCATGGAACAGAGCTGTTACTGGACCTTATTGTTGGCAAGAGATTGATATTGAGCTGTGGAGTAACCGTTGTCACCAGTCTGATCATCTTGATCGGATGCTTGAGATGTTGATCCCTAGGAGCTCTGGCTCTTTGAGAAAACTCTCTGTCACTGGCCTTAGGAATGACTCTATCTTCTCCTTCATTGCACAACAGTGAGTTGCAGTTTCTTGAATGTTTCTTGTGTGTTATGATCCAATTGATAAGAAGCATTAAGTGGTTTATTAAGTGTAATCTAGGTTTGTGTTTTATTGTCTGGAGCTGAGTCTTAAAGCTGTAGCCTTTTAGTGATGTTTTAAGCTGAGGTTGAAGCTCATTGCACGCTTTATTGATTTGAGAAGAGTTGAATGTTGTTTAGTTGTAATCTAGATGGTATTTGGATGAGATTGAAGCAAGATTGGTTTTTAAGTTCATTGCTTTTGTATCTATCGTTCTCTGATTCTAAGTTCATTGCTTTTCTTTGTATGTTTTGTTAGTGCTGGTTCGCTTAAAACGTTGAAGGTGCCAAGAAGTAGTCTGACTAATTCGGGTGTGGTAAACGTAGCTGAAAAGCTTTCATCTCTCACTTACTTGGACTTGAGCTACTGCTGCAAAGTAGGCGCAGAGGCGATACAAGCCATAGGCAAACACTGTAAATCCCTGAGAGAGTTTTGCAGAAACATGCATCCATTGGACGTAGCAAGTGTTGTCTCTCACGACGATGAAGCTTATGCAATCGCCAACACAATGCCAAAGCTGAAGCGGTTAGAAATCGCATACCACCGAGTGAGCACAGAAGGAGTACTCAAAATCTTATCTTGCTGCATCTTTCTTGAGTTCTTGGAACTTAGAGGTTGTTGGGACGTGCAACTCGATAACAAGTTCTTCAAAGAGAAGTTTCCGGATATGAAAGTGTTAGGTCCACGGGTGATCGGATTCTATGATATGATAAACGATTGGGAGGATTGCTGCTCAGATTATTTCTCTGATGGGTCTGATTACTTGGCTTGGGAGTTTCTTGAAGATGGTGTAATGGGAGAGTTCTATGAAGATGAGTTTGAGCATGGTTGGGACGATAACTTTTACGCAGACAACGCAATTCTAGACATGGAACCGCATATTTGGCCGCCATCTCCATGAAGAAACAGGTCTTGTTATGTCCTTAAAGATGCATCTAGGAATGGTTATAGCCTCTTATGTGTCACTTGATCTATGTAATGGTGCTTGAACTTGTGTGGCTTCTCTTTGTGTTATTCTAATCTAAACCAGGCTGGTTCATGGCTTTAATCTCTCTCTTTACTTAGTGATGTTTAGAAACCATATATGTGTGTGTGTATGTATAGAATTGGAGATGTCAAGTTGATGTATAAGAAACAAAAAGTAGTGAAGTAAAAAAGGACAAAGCTATTGAGGAAGAATTCAAATGAAATGGGGTCACTTCACTTTTCTTACTTATCTGCCATTTTGTGTAGTGTTGTGTCTTTTCTTCATTTAAGTCTTTGGTCTCTTTTGGATTTTGTTACTTTTTTGTAAATCAAAGATAACAAGTTCATTGAACAAATCATTAACTTAGCTTTTCTGAGGCCTTTGGTTCTGAATTTAGTAATAAGAACTTGTTAATATTGAGTTCCCTAATCCGACCATAAGTGAAGGATTGAAAGAAAATTAAAGGAAGTGATTAGAGTGTAAGAACTTCAATCAATTAGGATAATGCCCTCATAGGTATCATTATCAATTAGGTTCGTTATCCTTATTACTAAGAATCATTTCTTAGCTTTGTTTAGCTTAAGGACTTCGTAAACTCTCATCAATAATTATGTCTTAGACTCTTAGTAATGATGAAACCAATGAATTTTGGAGATGAGCAAAATAATGATGTGGTGAAAATTCAATCCCATGACATGGTCGAGATAAACCATAGTGCAAAACTTAGTTACACACATCATTATTCTTAAAGTCATTTTAATATTGTGTAGACTAGGTTTGGTATTTGCTACATTGGGGATTATGCTTAGATCACCACATTGTTTATAGCAATGCCTTATCTTGGCAATTAGACACTTTGGGAGAAGTCACATATGTGCAGTGGCGGAGCCAGCCAAGGATCATGATGGTCAAATGACACCCATAAAACTTTGAAATTTAGTTAATTTTTAGCTGTAATTTTAAAATTAACCCTAGTACAATCAAGAGATTGACCCCTATAAATATTCTTTTTACATTTTGACCCCCATAAACACAAATCCTAGCTCCACCACTGCATATGTGGATATGGTTTATTTGTGTAACTAAGACTGATCAAAAAGAAATATCATATAATTTGTTTTTTTTTTTTGGGAAGATATAATATGTTTCATCTTTATGAACTACTTCAAACTCTAAAAACTAGCTTGATAAGTGAATCCACTAGCATGATTGTTTTTGAGGAAAAATAAAAGAACTTTGTATGTTAGAATCCAATCATCTTCAGATTAGTTATTTCTCTACCAATGCGACTGTTGTCATCGGCTTTGTTTTCTTTATGGTTATTCATCGGGCAAATGATAAAATATCGTTTTGGGAGGGGGTCGAAGATCAAATGTGTCGCTTTTGGAAAGACATGTTAATTAATGAGATTAAAATATATTTAATTTGGTTTTCTATTTTCTTGTTTAGAATCGTTGTCAACGTTTATAGTAAAAAAACTTCTATAGTGCAGGTTTGTTTTTTGTTGATGATGTGAGTGTTTTGGAGAATGGTACTTATTTACAAATACATAATATTTTTTATAGAGAATAATGAAAATATATTGTTTTTGTACATTTATACGAAATCTACTCTTATTTTCCCATACTAAATTGTATGACAAATGTTACCATATTCATCACATACCACAATAAAACCACCATCTTTTATTATTCAGTTTGACTAAAAGTAGTATTTTTAAATGATAAAATAGTTTTGATTTTTTATTATAAACATTAGTTGTTTTAATTATTCATAACAAACCCCAACTTTAAAATTTCTTTTTTTAAAAGGTTAAAATAAACATATAATTATTTTATCTATATGTGTATGTAAGTATGTTTATATAATTTTCATAGACAATCCAATTCCTTTTTAAATAGTCCGTTTCTCTTTTTAAGTTGTGTTAAATTTAATAGTTTGATTTGATTAGTGAATTATGTTTAACAAATTTTAGAAAACAAAACATAAGTACTACTTACATACATTAATTTTTGTTTTTGCAGATATATAATTTCATCTCCAAATGTTGAGATTTTCTTAACTAGTGTTGAGAAAGGAAAAGATGGAGGGTTTTGTTTAGTCGGCATAGATGTAAGTTGTTGAAAAATTTATAGATCAAAGAGTATAGAAAGCCCATAGATAGATTAGAGAATCCATAAATGTTCAAGAATTTCAATAAAATGGGCATTTATCACATAGCATCCATGACCATAAACTGGGTACTCATGTTTTATGGTAAACCTCTATAATGATCGCACTATAATAGTACAAGTTGCCACATCGATATTACTTTGTCGATCCACGAGTTGACAAATCTTGAAGACAAGGTTAGTGAGCTTTCACAAGTTGTATATTTGGAACTTGGAAGAGAATGATGTGATTCTCAAAGTTAATGGGATGGCAGTATAAAATGGACAAGTTTTCTATGACAGCATATTTTGGATACACTTGAATGGCTTTATTTTTTTGAAGAAACACTATGAACGGATCATTTTACGGAGAAGACCGGTCGATCTGATGGTGAGACCGATCGGTCTGAGGGGGAGTTTACAGCAAATTTACCACTTCTCTATGAGACAGAAGAATTGGGTGTTGGTAAACGTCCTAAGAAGCTTCCAACAAGGTTGAATGATTATGTTCTCAACACCACGAAGATATCAACTGACCCCTCCCCACGCACTTCTGCCTCATTAATTAGATGACGAGTTTTGAAACTATATCACCAATTACAACATCATTTTGAGAAAAAAAAAAAAGAAAAAAAAAAGAACATATACAAAAGTCTGAATAGGTGGCTCAACAATCCTAATTGTTGAATCATTTCTCCATTATTGTACTAAACTTAAAGATCCTTGAACCCATACATGTCGTTGTAATCCGTTTGATATTTTGAAACAGATCTAATATCGAAGAACGATAAGATTAACAAAAAATAAAATTTATTCTCGTAACCATAGCTTTTTTTTTTAATGTGAGAATTAAAGAAAGATGTAAAGCTATGCGTCCTCTTAGTTCTAGATTGATGTCTATAGGTAACTGGGTATAAATGTATAACCGATTATCCTTCTCCGAGCTACCGAAATATGTGAGGATATAGTTGAAAGGTAATTTAGTTGTTATGGTCAATCTAAAACGTTCACAAAAAATCTCAAGGTCAACCTTTGGATTCTCACAAGATGATGTGTTTGGGTATGTCTCATGACGTTAAAAATGTCTTCGAGAAGAATTATCAGAATAATCTTTGGACTTTATTGTTTTTCTTGTTTTTTTTTTTTCTCATGACTCATAGTCATGACTCTCCTAGACTCCTTCTCTCATTTATTTTTTAATTGTGTTTAATTCTTGTAATGTTGTCACATGTGAAAGTTTTTTTTTTTTTTTTTTTCTCAACTTCAACTATTCATTAACCAAAGGATTACATCCAAATTAAAGGTACATGATATTCACCTCTATAGAATTGGACCAAATGCAATGGGATGATCTAATAAAACCCTGAATCACTAGCGGATCCAACGCAACCTGATCGAAAGACCATTGCATTTTTTTAACCACAATGAGATTGATAACACTCCACAACTCAGAGTGAAATCATCTCTTAACTACCTAAAATTACCCTCTAATACGAAAACAACTACTAACACAGAGAATACTAAAATCTATATTAAAGATCTAAGCAAATCCAAGCTATTAGAACCTCTTGATCGGCGTGTAGGACTTGTCCAAATAGCATCGAACACCAAAAGGCGTATCGTCAGAAAGACTTAGATTCTCTAGCTTTCATTGTTTCGATCCTAAGCCAAAACGGACAATACATCCGACTGACCCGGCCAAAAGACGTGAAACAAGACCCGCATGAACCGATGCTTCTCCGCAAGAACCATTCAAAGACCCGAATGCTAATCATCTAAAGATAAGAGTTTTGAACACAGATTAGCATAGCTTCACCTCACGATGCATTCCGGATTGGCCATCACAGTACCTGCCTTGTTGTCTCACTTCTCGGCCGGACTGAACCCAAGGAATTGAGAATGCTCACATGAACGCCAGCTTTGAGGATAACCTCAAATCTCGGCCACCGACGCCCACAGGATCCACCCCAACACCGGAAAAAACTCGAAAGCTCGCTTCCACCGCAGCTTTCGGTCAGCTAGGTACTCCGGCAAAAGGATAGGAGAAGCAAGAGGGCGTGACTCACGAGCTCAGATCCGACGCCCTGAATCTACAAAAGGTCACTCGGAGCAGCTTCAAACCACCACCAATCTCCCGGAGAGGGAAACAAGCCGAGATCTCTCTCCATATCGTCCGCCGTCGCACCGTAACAACGCAACCGAGGAACGATTCCTAGCACTGTCGGAGAAGCAGAAGACGAGATCTTTCACCCTACTACTACTACAAAGGAAAATAAAAGAAAGAGAAGAGACATAGCCCTTTCACATCGCCGGCGAAGCCTAAGGCGGCGGAGAGGCAATCAGAACAAAACAGAGACGCTGTAGATCTAGGGTTTTGAGAGAGAAAGAACCGTAAGATTTAGAAGCGGTCGTGAATCCCTTGTTTAGACTATGTGAAAGTTCTTTCTTGAGACGAATAGACTATTTTTTTTTTTGCGTATATGAAATGAAGGATTTTAGAAGAAAAATACACTACACACATTTTACAATGTAATCTCTTTTATTTTTTAATGATAAATTCTTTAAATATACACTAGTCTATATATATAAAGTTAGCTTTTTCTCTCTTCTCATGATGTCACCTAAGCATCCACCTAAGCCACATTTTTGTTTAAACATTAAAATAAATTTAAAACATTCATTTAGTGCATATTTATGTTATTTATTTAATTAATACAAAGTTTATATAAATAACTATAAATTATGTAAAAAAATGAAATGTTAAAATAAGAAAAACAATACTTTAATTTTTTATTAGTGGTAATAATATAATTCAACTTTCATTTTAAATTGATCATAATTTAATATTTTAAATTTGTTACTGAGTTTTAGAATGGAAGTAAGATTTAAATTTATGGTAGACTAAAACAACATTTATGTAATTGTATATATAAAATTATAAAGAGGAAAAATAAAATGAAAGTGAAATATTAGTTTATAACATGATCAAAAAGAAAAAAATGATATTTCATAAATTGAATCAAATGCTTTTAATCCAAATTTGAGTACTGAAAGATAATAATTAAAGAGAAAATAATTATAATATTTTTGAAAATCAATTAAAAATAATAATAAAATATCACATTATGAATAAAAAATCAACGAAACAAAATTATAAACCTCCCGCGCGTATTTATATAAAGCATATACTACAACATTATGTGCATATGAATCTGGATAAAACAGACATTGGACTCAAAACAAACAAAGACATGGGCTCTAAAAGCCCATTAAGAATAACAATTTCCAAAAATACCCTTTACAATCATTGAAAAATTCAAACTTGACCTAAAAAGTATCTGAAAAGCCAGCGCCTTTTTTCGTTACGAATCCGTGTTTCTCCCATCTTTCAATCCAACGGCTCTCCTTCCTCCTCCTTACCGTAATCGTCGCTCCCCACTCATTTCAATTAAACATTAAAAAAAAAAAAAAAAAAAACACAAATTTCCAAATAAAAACAAAAATAAAATCTCAAAGCCGAAGGAAAAAAAAAAAAGTCTCTCTCTCTCTCTCTCGCTCGCAGATCTGAGAATCATCTTCTTCTTCTTCCTTTGTTCATCATCAAACTCCGATCTAAACAACAATGGCGGCACCAACAGGTTCATCAGCAAGGGAAGAATTCGTATACATGGCGAAACTCGCGGAACAAGCCGAGCGATACGAAGAAATGGTTGAATTCATGGAAAAAGTCGCGAAAGCTGTTGACAAAGAAGAACTCACCGTCGAAGAACGTAACCTCCTCTCCGTCGCTTACAAAAACGTGATCGGAGCTCGTCGTGCTTCTTGGAGAATCATTTCATCGATTGAACAGAAGGAAGAGTCTCGCGGCAACGATGACCATGTTTCCTTGATCCGTGATTACAGAAGCAAAATCGAAACCGAGCTTTCTGATATCTGTGATGGTATCCTCAAGCTTCTCGATACGATTCTCGTTCCCGCTGCTGCTTCTGGAGATTCGAAGGTGTTTTACCTTAAGATGAAAGGTGATTACCATAGATACTTGGCTGAGTTTAAATCTGGTCAAGAGAGGAAAGATGCTGCTGAACATACTCTTACTGCTTACAAAGCTGCTCAGGTTTTGATCTCTTTCTCCGATCTGGTTTTTGATTTTGGATGATTTAGGTTTGTGAGATTTGCTTTTGGTTTTGGTTTGTGTAGGACATTGCTAACTCTGAATTGGCTCCTACTCACCCGATTCGTCTTGGTCTTGCGTTGAACTTCTCTGTGTTTTACTATGAGATTCTCAATTCTCCTGACCGTGCTTGTAATCTCGCTAAGCAGGTTTGGGGTCAATCAGAAGTGTGCTTTATATGATTGTGTTTGTTTGTTTATGTGTGTTTGATGAGTTTTGTTTATGGGTTTATTAGGCGTTTGATGAAGCTATTGCTGAATTGGATACTCTTGGTGAAGAGTCATACAAGGACAGTACTTTGATTATGCAGCTTCTTCGTGATAACCTCACTCTCTGGACTTCTGACATGCAGGTATTATACTTTGGCCTTATAAGCTTGGTTTTGTTGCTTGATTTGTGAAAACGTTGAGCATAATGTTGCTTGTTTATCAAACGGTTTGGTTTATATTTTGATGCATTCTCCTGGTTTGATTCTGATTTTAGTGATTTTCAAATGTGTTTAATTGTGTTTAAGACTGTGTTGTTGCTTTGTTTCTGAAACCATGACATGAGCTTTGTTAACCCATTGAGGAAGACTAAATTTGAAAATGAAAGGATCTAGTTTACATTTACATGCATTCTGTTTTGGATTTTGGTGATATTCAAATGTGTTTAATCCTGTTTGAGACTGTTTTGTTGCTTAACAACGGAAGCAATTAGCCTTATTAAGCCATTGAGGAAGCAAACGATTTAGTTTACATTTTGATGCATTCTTCTGGTCTAATGCTGTATATAAGCTGTGGAAGCCTGTTTTGTTGCTTGATATCTGAAACCATGAGTCTTATTAAGCCATTAAGAGACTAGATTTGGAAATCAATGGTTTAGTTTGCTTGGTGATGCATTCGTGTTTTTCTTGTCCCGTCTGGTTTGATTCTCAATTTCATGATTGTCATGTCATGTGTTTAATCCTGTTTTGTTGCTTGATTACTATGAGCAAAATAAGTCATTCTGAAAGACTAGTTATGCAAATCAAATTGTTTAGTTTCCATTTGATGCATTTCTCATTTCTTCTGTCTTCTAATCCGATTCTGATTATGATGATATTCTCAAATGCTTTTTATTCAGGACGATGCTGCTGACGACATCAAAGAAGCAGCACCAGCAGCACCAAAGCCTGCCGAAGATCAGCAACAATCCTAAGTCATGCGGCGAGTTTGTTGTTGTTGTTTCAGTATCTAAAACTTCTCCATTAATATGTTTTTCTCTTGGAGGAGGAGTTTCTGTGTTGGTTTCTGATTTCCTTTTATCCCGAAGCTCTCTGAGGCAGTCTAATTCTTGTCCTTGTTTGCTTTTCTTAAACGTGGATGCGAAAACTCGATTCCTATTATTTTTCTTTAATCTGTTTCCATTTTATCGTGAATTGACTTTCATGTTCTGTTTCTCTGTTTGTAATGGATTTATCTTTTCTTGTTTCAATGTCGAGAAAAATCTTTGGTTTATTTCAGCAATCAATTGCTGAATAAGTTCAAGTTTACTCTCAGGTTATACATATAGTGTACATAGCTTATAGCTTGAGTTTGCTCAGATTGATTCGTTCGACGGGATATGTGTATGCTTCGAAGTTGATTTGTTGTCCTAAGCAACTTAGCTTTGTGAATGCTGTTATCAGATCAACCTGCAAACATGTTTATAAATCAAAACATGAGCTTGAGTTTGAAGTAGAGGAATATATGATAAGGAGAATGAGAGAAAACTAACCTCGTAATCTGTCTGTGATACGGTTTCACGGCTTCGTTGGTACTTCTGAACCCATGGAGCAACTTGCGGGTCAGTGGCCAAGAGTTGCTCTGTTGCGAGTTGATCAGGACCCAAGAATGCAGACATTACAGCTAGCTAGAAATCCCCAAACATTGAATCAAATACAGGTTAGTAACTATGACGGATTTGATCCGATAGCCATAATTTTAAACCCAAAATCTTGTACCTGACGAGGACCCAATCCAACGGCAATGAACTTATCTTTCATCTCTTGCACAGTTGCTTTTCCCCACTGTGGGACTCTGCCTTCTGGATCTGCCTCTGTTGCATCAGTCCTTCCGAAATTTCTATCAAACAAGCCCCACTAAACAGATTCACAACAGTTCAGTCTCCATTTGAACCGCTCAAAACGCATAAGAACATCAACATGACACAGCATTGTGTACCTGACCAGCTGAACCATATGCTGTGTAGAGTAAGTTCCCTTTTTCTTCATTTCCACCACATTTGCGTATCGCCGATGCTAAAAACGTAGACTTAACCGCTGATTGTCCTACAAAAAGACATTAACCCAAGAAAGACTTCAGTTACACAATCCTAATCCTGTCCATGAACAAGTCTTGGTATATAAACATCACCACCTGCCAATTGAATAAGGTCAGCATATGAAATAGGTCCACCCTTCGATATAGAATCAATCTCCTTCTTCATTTCCTCTATCAAACCCAACCCATCAGAAAGCCCCTCATTCTCAGCTCTACTCAACTCAGAGCTACACAAAAATTTAACACCAAGTCTAAGATTCCATAAAGACATCATCTAAAGACTCCTATGCTAATGTTCTTTACATCATGTAAGTAAAGTACCTGAACCGTATTGATCCATTAGCTCCCCCAGATTTTGTAGCCTAAACAAAAGAAAAGCCAACATCAATAAGGGTAAAAGAGCTATGCAATCACCAGAGAGATAGATAAGAGACTTTTGTGAAGCCTGACCTTATCATAAGTCATTGCATCATTGAGTGCTAGTTTAAGTATAGAAGGTACAAGTTCAGGTTTAGCCTTAAAGGCACTCGAAAGCATAAGCTTGATCTTTGCTGCATAATAAAAATGAAACCTTTAGTACCAATATCAACCTCTTGGGTACTTCTTTAGTAACGTTCTTGTTACAGAACTCACATAGAAACTCAGATCGCTGTCTACGTTGATTCAAGTCAGCAGCTTTAGCATCACCCACATGATTAATGAAACCATTGCCTATTAATTCCTAACAATAGAGATCATCACTACCAAGAACTCATCAAATGTGACATAAAGACATGAACTTTAAGAAGATGGTTCTGTAATTGAATTGAAGGGTACCATTCCGACAGCAGTGCCGGCGAGTTTGAGAACATCACGACGGTGAAGAGGTAAACTTTCTCCGGAGACTTGTGGTTCCATCTTGCAACATCGTATGAGAACCTGAATTTGATGATGATCATCATCATAATTTCAAGATTGTTAGTATAAGAAATGGGTTGGGAGTATAAAGAGAATGTGAAAATGGGTTTGAAACTCACAGGGCGATGTGAAGATGAAGAGAGTGTGGTGAGGTTTGTTGTGAAGGAAGGAACAGTGGAGAGGAAGGAGACTCCTCCCATTTTGGTTTGGTTTGTGATGAGACAGAGAAGAGAGAAGAGAGATGTCTGAAGAAAATGGAGAGTGTGTGTGTTTTGGTTTTGTGAAGGAGACACTTTTGTGGATTCTCTGTTATCCAAATCCACCAATTATATAGGTCCATTTGATTTCATCATATAACTCCTATTTTTTTTCCAATGAGTTTGTTTATTCACATTATAAATTAAAAAAATAGAACTTTTATCTATTATTATTTAAAATATTTTTTATAATATTAAAAAGGTTTATTTTTCCCATAATCTTAAAGTGGTAAAATCAAGGCCCAAATACCAAACCTGATTCGAAAAACTCGATCCGACCTCGAACCAGAAATCTGAAAGTACCCGAACGGGTTCTATATCTCTAAACATGAAGACCCAAACCTAAGTGGGTGTTATTGAATATTGTATTTTAAAGGAATCTGAGGTATTTTAAAATCTAGTGTTATTCAATTAAGTATTTTAAAAAGTACATTAAAATATGTTGTTATTGGATAGTGTATTTGTTTAATGTATTTTAGAATACTTCTAAAACAATTGTTATTGAACTAGGATTTATCCCGTGGTACACCACGGGTCCATAATTTAATATATTTCTTTGGTTGATCATTTTCGTAGTTGATTTATATAATTTAGTTTTGTATATGTTTATTTTATCTAATTTAATATAATTTTATTAATTTGTATTATAAGTAAATTCATAGATATATGTGGTAAACCCGCGGTACATCGCGACACAATTTTGTTGTAAATAAAAAATTATATTTTAACTTAACCCGTAAAGATTTTAAATATAGACAACCCGCAGAAAAATATAATCATATTTATGTAAACTAAAACCCGTTCAATCATATTATGTCCAATATTATTATATTTTAAATATTTTTAGAGTTAAAATATTAGTAATACTTTTAATTTTTGTAGAGTTTAAATATTTTTCATTATTTTAATATTTTATAAAAATTAAATAAAATATCAGAAATTTCAGCTTTTTAAAGTTTTAATATTTATCACATTTTAAACTTGTTAAAAAATTAAAATTTATGACATTCTGAAACTTTTTAAAAATTTTATTTTCCTTAAATAAAGAACCGGATTAAGCTAATAAAAGTTTTAATTTGGATACTTGAGAAATCAAAATTCATGCTCATTTGTAGTTGTAAACATATTAATCTTATTTATAAAGGTTTTGAACTATTATCTAAAATTTTATATCTTATGTAGACGTTGTACATATATTCTTTTCTTTATTGATTGAGTTAACTACGTCCGTTTTCAAAAATTTAAATTGCAAAATGTGTGAAAAAAAATTTGTATTTTTATTATAAACATATTTTATATAATAATATAAATTTAAAACACATATGATTATATAAATATATTGGAGAGAGATTCGGTTTATTAGAGAGGGATTTTAGGAAAAAAATTTATGTAATAAATATTTGGTTTCCAATTTTGGGATTTGCTTGTGATTTAATTACAAAATTTACTTTTAAGTTTTGTTATTTATTCAAATGGCAAGAGTTTAATTATGCAAATATTACAAAATAAAAAGTTATAAGCCAAAATAGATTTTAGTACAAAATGTACTTCAAAAATGTTAAGATAGATGTCCATAGGATTTCATGTTACTTTAGATTTTAACGTATTCCACTCTAAAAATATGAACAAACAGAATCCCACATAATTCTCAAGTATTTCAGTCTCTTTCTTTCTCTCATTCAGAATGAATAAGGAAAAAAAATGGATGGCTCTACCCAGGTCTGCTCTTACCAAATGATCACTGTTTCACACCAACCTGATCTCTTTTTATGAATCATTCTCTCTTCCACTCTTTTGTTGGTAATGGAGTTACCATCGCAGACCTATCTCGTTACCCTGAATTCTCGGATACGAATTGGAAACTGATACAATTTGTGTTAAGAAGTGATTCATCGATATGATGCCAAAAAACCTTTGATTTAATGATTGCAACAGAGATATGATCTCTCCCTGTGTAACTAGCTTCAACCTTTCAACTCATCATACTGATATGGTTCAAAAGGTTTTGTTTTGAAAGAGGAGCTTTAGATGTTTAATAACAATAAGGAGAAATCATTGTAATGGATCGTGATGGGAACAATTAGTTAATTTATTAATTTGGATACAGTTAACATAATTTATTGGTAGTTTATCTTATTTTTATTTAACAAAAAAAAAATAAAGTCCACTAACAGTGACTTTCAAATCCTGTTAGTAATATCTTTCAAATCCACTAATGACATAGAAATTCACCTTAATCCCACGTTAAATGCATTTACAAATCCATTGAATTCTAAAATCCACTAATAATTTAAATCCATTAAAAACCTTCATTCAATAACACCCCCTAAATTTGATCCAAACCCAAACCAAAACGAATATCCGAATACACCCACAATATAAGTATACAATACTAATTTATTAATAATATTTATATTTATAATAATTTAAATGTCTAAAATATTCAGATTTTTGTATGTTTTTAATTCTTTTTACTGTTAAATTCTTTTTTTTGGTAATTTTGAGTAGAAAATATTAGAAGTTTGTAGGGGAATTGTCTTAAATACCATGAAAATAAGTATTTTTTCCAAAAACACCATTATAAGTTTTATTTTCCAAAAATACCATTAAACTACATTTTTTCCAAAAATACTATTAAAATATATTTTTTCCAAAAATACCACAAAACTAAAACTAAATTTTTTAACCTTCAAAACTAATGTCTAAATCCTAATCACTAAACCCTAACCCTAAAAACTATACCCTAAATATACAACCCAAACATTAAAAAAATAATTCTACACCTTCAAAAATCAACTTTTTATGTTTGTAGTATTTTTAGAAAAATAAAACTTTTGCGGTATTTTTGAAAATAAAAACAAATTGTGATAGTTTTGGAACAAAAACTAAAATATTGGTATCCCAGAGAATTTCTCAAGCTTTTAAGATTCTTTTAGTAGTTTAGACATATTTGGATATTCAAATTTTAAGTTCTGGAAATTACGGGTAGTCTGAATACGAACTCAAAAATATACTAAAACGGGTTTCATACTTCTAAACTCGAAAAAAACCCGAACCGGTACTCAGACGCCAACCCTTCAAGAGTAAGGAAAAAATAATCCTCAAACTTTTGGATCGGCTTGTTTGGTTATTTTGAAAATATTGTCGAAGTTAACCGATATAAAATTTGGTTCGGTTATTTTGATTTTTTTGCCAAAATTGAAACAGTTTTAATTGATAAATTTTGAAAAATTGGGTTATAATTCCATGAGAATATGTGAGACCAGAATTGTTGGATTTGAATCAAACAGTCTATTTTATTAACTCACTGTCGCATCGCCACAACTTGCGTGTAGTCTTTGAATAACAAAAATGATTGATAAGGATCATAGAAAAACATAGTCCTTAAGTGAAAGCTAATGAAGACTTTAAAACATATTTCTTCTGGCTTCTTCACTTGGAAGCTTCACTTGACTCGTTTGTTTTGTTGACGTTTAAAGGGCACTGAGATACATATGGTTTCAGCTGTACCATACAAATATTCATCAGAAAAGCTTGGTTAATGCAGGAAGTAAAATCATTCAGGAAGTAAAATCATTTCATTTCAGGTTCTTAACAAGAATTGTCATTATCACAAACTTGTAAGACTTTCAATTAGGATTGCAAGCTACATACTCAGCTATTTATATAGAGGAAACAAAGAAAAGGAACAGAGGATTTGGGTGAAATGCAAAACACACAAGCAGCTAAATACAAGAAGTAAAGCATTCCATTTCAGGTTCGTAATACGAAACTTACAAGGAATAAGATCATCAGGTCACAAACGTAAGGAGTGTGTTCAATTAGGATGCAAGCTACTTAGGCAAGGGATTCACCAATGTCCCATTATGATGCAAGCTACTTAGTCACCTATATATATAGAGGAATCAACGAAAAAGGAACATAAGAGATTAGGGTGAAATGAAAACCTTAAAGCCGGTCAGATCAGGGACTACGTAGTTTGGCAATTTATCTTGCTGCACAACATAACCTCCTGCAAACCATGTCACAAAATTAGAGAACAGGTATAAGAAAGTTTACAAATCCAAATCTGACAACCAATATGCCAAAAGTGATTTTAAGTTCTTAGTTTTCAACCTAATTTGCTTTCCTTTGATTGCATCTATGTAAAATTCAAACAACTTGGCATTATCTGCTACTATTTCCATCACCAAGAACAACATTCAACAACAACCACTAAAGAAACGTAAATGGAAAACAACTTAAATCTCAATTGCAGCATGAATAGGGTAAAACAAGTTGTCCAAGATTCAGGCGAAATTTTGGATGAAATGTGTCAAGTATTAACGCGGTTTTTCCGATCAATCTGCCAAATTTAAGTTCAAGTTCTTAGCTTTCCACCTAAAGGATCAACAAACTTCACTGCTAATACCTCTTCTTAGATTGAAAATATCTAAATTCAAACAACTTTGTACCATCATCAAAAAACAATTTTTCAGTCATCAATTACTAAACAAGTGTACATGGGAAACAGCTTAAATATCAACTGCAGCAAGAGAATGACAACAAATTGTTCCAGATTCAGGTGAAATGAGTAAAATAGTAAGCTGTTTTGCAATCAATTTCCCAAATTTGAACTCAAGATCTTAGTTTTCCACCTAAAGTATCAAACTTTCAATCAAAATGTGTACAAGGAAAGGGTAACAAGTTCCAGATACACAAAATGAATGAAATGGATAAAGTATAATGCGTTTTCACGATCAATATGCCAAATTTGAGTTCAAGTGACTAGCTTTCTACCTAAAGAACCATACTTAGCTGACAACAACTATCCTCAGATCCCATAAATCAAATTCAAATCAACCTTGCCTCATCTTCAAGAAACAACATTCAAAACCAACCACTAAACACAGCTTAATCTCAATTTCACAATCAATCTGCCAAATCTGAGCTCAAGTCATAAGCGTTCTACCTAAAAAACCAAACTTTCTCTCCTTTAGATTCCATATATCTAAATTCAAACAACATTTCCAACATCAACCACTACACAAGTGTACATGAACACAGCTTAAATCTCAACTGCACCATGAGAACTTATATGAAATGCCGTGAAGCATTATGCATTTTACAATCCCAAAACTGAGTTCAAGTTCAAAGCTTTCTCTACTACATACAAAACAACATTGCATCTATCACCAAGAAACAACTTTTTTCAAGCATCAATACAATTCAATTAGATAATAAAAATGAAACCTTTTCTAGTGTGGAAACCAGTAGATTTACAGTTGTTCCCTTTGTAGAAGTTTCGAGGAGCTCGTTTGGGAGAGAGGATATCAAGTGAAGAAGCTCTCTTTCTTCGGAATGATCTACCAATCCCTAATAACAACCCTAGTGTCATCTTCCAAATCGATTAAAAATCGAAACTTTTTGGTGAATTTTTGAAAGTATCAAAATGAAGAAGAAGAGGAGGAGATTTGCAGAAGAATAGGGGAGAGAAAGGGTTTAGGGTTAGAGAATAGTGAAAAGGCCCAAAATTGAGTAAGCCCATTTTCATACATCACTTCTCTGAAATTACCTATAATACAAATTTTCAAAAATACTATATTTTACAAAAAAAAAAAAAAAAAAATTAAAAGCCACCAAAATGTTCCCAAATTAGTTTTCAAAGGTAATAAACTCATTTATTGTGATACGTGTCAAATGTGTCGATAAGATTTTGACATGTATAAAAAGAAAACAAATATAAAAGTATAATAAACTGAAAACATAAAAATATAAAAGGACTACAATTATTAAATTTTTAGAAAAATATAAAAACAAAATAATATCTTAAATTACTAATCCTGATAAGAAAAGAATTGTAATTACTGTTTTGTAAACATATATTAAATACAATTACATAGAAAAGTGGTTAAATTATAGAGTTATTTGCATTCATAGTCATTTTTCTCAAAAAAAAAAAACACAATTAGTCACTTTCTCCAAAGGGAATTTTGCATGGAATATCCAAAACAAGAAGACTCATACCTTCAAACCACCCAAAACCATTTTGTTGAGGGTAGTGATCCCTGCATCGCCTACAGCAACCACATTGATCTTTGGAGACTCCCTTTTCATTTTTGGAGACTCCCTTTTCACCTTAGTAGTTTTATGCATAATCACCATTCTTCTTACAGATGATGATGAGGTTGAAAGAGAAAAAAATGGGAAAGTTCCTACCCTTTTTGGATTTAGGAGAAAAGAGAGATAGAATCTCTATCGAACCATAATAACGTCCTAAAAATATAAAAGGATCTCATTATGTGAGTCATTCAAGATGGTTTTATAATGAGAACCATATTTCATTGTTGAAAAGATAAACCTCATTTGCAACCTCCAAACTATTTTCGTACAAATTATAAATGGTAATAATACATACCACAAATGACTATTGTAGAAATATTTTTGAGAAAATTAGGAGCAATAAAAAATAATTCTTTTTATAAAAAAATAATGTTTACACAAATAATTATATATTTTTGTTTTTGTTTATTTCAACAAATAATTATATAAAAAGTTATTTTATAAAGTTGACAAAGAAAAAAAGAAGAAGAAGAAAAAAAATAGCTAGAGATAAGAAAAGTAGCAATGGCATAAGAATAAAGAATTAGAAATTTAACAGTTTAAATAAATATCTAATTACGTATAATAATGGTGAGAAAATAAAAATCATGTCAAAATAAAAAAATTTCATTAAAAAAAAAATTACATATGAGAACCGTGATATTTTTTTAAACGCTCCAGATGGTTTAGAGTCTTCCAACATTACCAGCGAGACTTGAAACACCCGAATCTTTTACTTAACCAATATAAACCGGTTCAATCTCCAAACCAATCCCAAATTCTTGTACCAAATCTTTTAATTTTGATCAAAACCACATTCCTCCCTTTGGTTTGCTTTCTTCGTACAAGAAAGAAAGATATTTTCCGAGAAAGATGACAAACTGAGAAAGTTTTTCCCAGAAAACAATGAAAGCTATAATACACAACAACAAGACTCACGCTTCCTCCGTTCACGTGGCAATCACTTCCAATGAACGATTCTCCTTGTTTCTCCCAAAGTCCCATCACAAAAACCCTTTCTCCAAGATTCTTCTCACTAAAGAAGATTCTCGAAAACCATTGAAGCAAAGAAGATATGCTTACTTCATCTTCTTCCTCCTCATCATGTGAATTTTTTTCTTCAAATCCACCTCCGTTGCTCCGTAATGCCTTCTCTAGCTTCACCGTTCCCATGGGGTTAGTCAATTTCACTCTTTAGATTTCTCGATTCTTTTGAAAAATTCATGATCTCGATTTGAGTTTTCGTGTTTGCAGATTGAAATTGAGTAGGAGATTGGCTGGAGTTCGAGTTGTCTCGTCCCGTAAGGCATGTGGTCTTCTTCGTAATCCTTAGTCTCGTTCTGGTTCTTAGGTTTACTCTTGTGTTATATGATCTTCATTGTTTCATCTTAGGTAGGTTAAGGATCGTTCTACACTTAAGGTCTCTTGTCGTCGTGCACACGAACGTGTGGTTGAGGTAAACATCTCTTTAGGCTTTACTCTTTAGTGATTCCTCCTTAGAGAGTGATTTTTTTTTCATGGCTCCTTCTGTGTAGGAAGAAGCATCTACAATGACTGAGACTAGAGAACCCTTTAAGGTTTCTTCTGGTGAAGCTTCTCCTCTTGGTGTGTCTCAAGTAGACAAGGGAATCAATTTTGCTTTGTTTTCTCAGAATGCTACTTCTGTAACACTTTGCTTATCACTTCCTCAGAGGTATTCATTTATTCGTTAGTGTAACTAGTTGAAATAAGGAGATTTTGAAGTTTGTTTATGTTTTGCTTGCTTAATCTGTGATGCTGATGTTCTTTGGTGATATATTTTTCAGTGATAAGGATGATGATGGTATGATTGAGTTGGTTTTGGATCCCAGTGTGAATAAGACTGGGGATACTTGGCATATTTGTGTTGAGGTAGTATCATACGCCTAGTAACTTCTTTGGACAGTTCATTTTCGTACGCTATCTTTTTGTCTTCTCACTATTTATGGTTTTGGATTTCTTTTACAGGATTTGCCTCTCAGAAATGTTCTTTATGGTTACCGTGTTGATGGTCCTGGAGAATGGAATCAAGGGCATCGGTTTGACCGTAGTGTTTTGCTTTTGGATCCTTATGCTAAGCTAGTTAAAGGCCGTAGCTCTTTTGGAGATAGTAGCCAAAAGTTTGCTCAATTTTATGGAACTTATGACTTTGAGAGCTCGCCGTTTAACTGGGGAGATGACTACAAGTTCCCTAATATACCTGAGGTAGATAATGTTGTCATTTCTCTCCTTCAGCTACGTACGTGTTGCACAGTTCTGTTGATGAGCTATTTTTCTCACTGAGCTATGAAATTTGTATTACTACAGAAATTATGTTTCAAATTTCTTTTTTAATTATCTGTCACTGTTTTGCAGAAGGATCTTGTTATTTATGAAATGAATGTTCGTGCTTTTACTGCTGATGGATCCAGTGGGGTTGATCCAAATATAGGGGGCAGTTACCTTGGTCTCGTTGAGAAGGTAACTGTATATTACCTTGAAAGTATGTTGAGATGCTATAATTACTAGATATTCGTTCTAGCTAATGAGTCATGATCAGGAGTCATGACCAAGTAATCACGAAAAGTGTGAAAAAGCATATTATGATAGATGTTGAGGATATGTTTCATCTGCTCGTATATTTTACAAAGCTTCTCTTATAGCTCACTCTTTTTTCTTCTCTTTAAAGATCCCACACCTTCAAGATCTGGGTATAAACGCAGTGGAGTTATTGCCAGTGTTTGAGTTCGATGAACTGGAGCTTCAGAGGCGCCCTAACCCTAGAGATCACATGGTAATGTAATCACGAATCAGCAAATTGCATTTCTTTCTGATTCTAATATTTTTAACAGGTCTTGTTTCTTAGGATCACCATAAAATATCTTCTCATTTCAGTATAAAATTAAGCTTCATCAGCAGAAATTTCAGTGCTTCCCCTTATCTGAAAGAGATTTTTACTAGGTTAACACATGGGGTTACTCGACAGTTAACTTTTTCGCTCCAATGAGCCGTTATGCTAGTGGTGAGGGAGACCCTATTAAAGCATCAAAAGAGTTTAAAGAAATGGTCAAAGCCTTACATTCTGCTGGTATTGAGGTAGCAATGCCGTTCTCTTTCCCCCCTTTTATTGGGACTTCTATTCACTTTTTGGCCTATGAAGTTTGTTGCTTTTTGAACTTATTGTTACTTATTATTCTACAGAAGTATTCTTACAGCTTTTCTCTGCAGGTCATTTTAGACGTAGTTTATAATCATACCAATGAAGCAGATGACAAATACCCTTATACCACTTCATTTCGTGGTATAGACAACAAGGTGAGTAGTAAAGAGGACTAAGCTTCATGTCAGCTTATTTCTTTTCTTATCTTGGAACTCTAAAGGAAAAAGTGAGATCTATTCTTCAGGTCTATTACATGCTTGATCCAGGCAACCAACTGCTTAACTTTTCTGGCTGTGGTAATTTATTTTGAAGCTTATATTCGAAATGAAAGTTTGGTTTACAGTTAGCTGTAATATGTGTGCTCAACTTCTTTTATTTTCTGTTTCCAGGGAATACACTGAACTGTAACCATCCTGTTGTTATGGAACTAATACTAGATAGCCTAAGGCACTGGTATGGACAAAATCTATGTTAGCCACTGTAAATAATTGGACCAAATATCTTAAATTCATCCTGAACATGATAATGATTTGAAAAATTTGCTTGTTGATTTTCCTATCTTCTTGACATATTGTGGTTACTTAACATAGTTAATCATTCCTGGTTCTTATTTCTCTTTACCTAACCGCAGGGTCACTGAATATCACGTCGATGGTTTCCGATTTGATCTTGCTAGTGTGCTTTGCCGAGCAACAGATGGATCTCCACTCAGTACTCCTCCACTGATAAGGGTAGGCTTTAATGTATTGCCCTCGCATTTTCAGAAAACAAATTATAAAATTGTTACCATAATGTTCTTTTTCGAAATTTCTTATTGGATCAGGCAATTGCCAAGGATTCCATTCTGTCAAGATGTAAAATAATTGCAGAGCCTTGGGATTGTGGAGGATTATATCTAGTTGGGAAGTTTCCAAGTTGGGATAGGTAACAGTTTTAGCTTCATAACTAGTACTAATACTTGGTAGCTCTTTCTAAAGTTCTGTGGTTATCAACTTTGTGTAACTTCCTAACTGGTATAGCTACTGGATTTTTCCCAAGTCAGGTGGGCTGAGTGGAATGGGATGTACCGGGATGATGTTAGAAGATTTATCAAGGTATACAATATTGGAGTGTTTTATTCACTTGGTCTTTGGAAAGGCATAACTTATAGCAAACACACTCTAAACTTCCACATTGGTAGGGTGACAGTGGCATGAAAGGAAGCTTTGCCACTCGGGTTTCAGGATCTTCCGATCTTTACCAAGTAAGATTTATTCAAGTTATTATCTTTTTGTATTAAATCTTAACTTTATTCAGGGATAGCTTTGGTGCAGTATAACTTGAGTAAAATTCATTTAGGGTTCGTGATAATGTGACACTTACCCTCTTCTCTTCTATAGGTTCACCAGCGGAAGCCTTACCACGGTGTAAATTTTGTGATTGCACATGATGGTTTCACATTGCGAGATCTTGTATCGTACAACTTTAAGGTAATTTTGATTTCCAATGTATTGATTTTAAAACCTGAATGAGTCTGTGTTTTATATATCTCTTCTGCATTTTAGCACAATGAGGCCAATGGAGAAGGAGGAAATGATGGATGTAATGACAATCATAGCTGGAACTGTGGTTTTGAAGGTACAACTAGAACCTCATTCACAACATTCACGTGTTGATGGTTTCTCTGTATAATTTCTTATTTCCAGCATTCAAGTTTACAATTTTTTAATTTGACAGGGGAAACTGGTGATGCCCACATCAAGTCTTTACGTACTCGGCAAATGAAGAACTTCCATTTAGCTTTGATGATTTCTCAGGTATGTATCGCCAGCATACACCTTTTCAAATACTGTTACAAATCCAAAATCTGTATGAGACGAACCGTGATAATGATCAGGGAACACCAATGATGCTAATGGGAGATGAATATGGACATACCAGGTATGGTAATAACAATAGCTATGGACATGATACCGCTCTCAACAATTTTCAGTGGAACGAGGCAAGTCATACATATCGCGGTTTGTCCTTTTATGGTTACATTACAGATTCCTCATGAATTGTAATAATTTCTTCTTTGTAAATCCAGCTCGAAGCCAAGAAGCAGAACCATTTTAGGTTTTTCTCGGAGGTGATAAAGTTTCGACATTCACACCATATACTCAAGCATGAAAATTTCCTCACACAGGTAACTAACCTCCTCTTGTTTTTACATCTAGTCATTGGATTTTTCAGTGCTACTGTAATGTTTAATGTTTGTCTATAGGGCGAGATTACATGGCATGAAGATAATTGGGACAACACTGAGAGCAAGTTCCTAGCTTTCACGTAAGACACAAAAGTCCCAAAGTGTCTTATTCTGCTTAACAATTTATCAGATATCTGATTAATAAGTCATTCTTGTTGCAGTCTCCATGACGGTGTAGGTGGCCGTGACATTTATCTGGCATTCAACGCCCACGATTACTTTGTCAAGGCTCTGATTCCACATCCACGACAGGGAAAACAATGGTTCCGTGTGGTCAGTCTTTCATTCTTCCTTTCTTTCCTCTTCTTTGGTTCTCTAATCCCCATGACTGACTCAACAATTGTCATGTTTCTACAGGCTGACACGAACCTCGAGTCACCGGATGATTTTGTGAGCGAAGGTGTGCCCGGCGTGGCTGATACATACAATGTTGCCCCATTCTCTTCAATCCTTCTCCAGTCCAAGTAAAGATGAGCACTCACACAAGCAGCTTCAAGTCTTCAACATAATAACACACGGTAGAGTAAAAATAAGGTCTATGAATTATGAGGAAAAGATCCACTACTATATGAGTGTCTTGTAAAACTTGATTACATGTAAAATTATAAAATGTACGAAATTATATACCATTTAGTTGTGTTTGGATATGAAATATATATAGAGTAATAAATATTAATGTAATTTTAGTTAATTATTAATGTCATATAAAGATTGATAGTTCTAAACCAACACATGAAGTTACAATAATTTCATGATTTTGGTTTTTAGAAGCTAAATTACATAATTTTGGGTTTTAGAAGCTTAATTTCATAATCAAGTTTATATAGTCCATAGTATTGCATTCGGATTTTTGTGTTGGGTTTTCGGGTATTCGGATTTAAAGATATTATAATTCGTAAGGGTAATTTCTATTTTTGGGTCGGATTCGAATTATTAGAAAAATCTTAAAGATTAGTTAAAATTTAAGGAAATTTGATCCTCAATTTACATTTCACAAGACATTTTTTTACATTTCACCATGACTGTAAAAGTGTCCAAGCTTCGAACCCATCCCCATATATCTTCCACAAAATGTATAACAAATTAACAAATTGTGTGAATAAATATTGAATAAGTAATTTCTATCTTTCAACTTAACGATGACACACCAACTACTTACCACATCTGATATTGTCAGCTTCGAAGAATCCAAAACCTAGTTAGTAGTAAAACAATTCAAAATGGTTCTATAAAAACTCTCAAAAGAGTATCCGAAGTTACCAATTATTGAAACAATGAAACGTTACGTTAAAGCGACAAAAAAAAAGAAAAAGTAGCACTAATAACAAAAAAGAGTAAATTCCAAAAGAATAAAATTTTATATATAGATGCTTCTTCTTCGATCTTAGTAAAGTCAGAGTTTAATACTTCAATTAGTAAAAATTAAAAGAATCTAAAAAGACTAATGGGAAACATAGCTGCGTGGTAATCATAATGGTTAGTTAGTGAAAGTTTTTAGTTTAAGAGTCACACCACTAAATTAAGGGTTTTGTGTAAATAAATTTTCGAAATCGCCATTTTTAGCAAGTGTACTCTCTAAATCCAAAAATACAAGTTAATCTCACAAAGTTAAAATAAATACGCAATATAATCTCTTTTTGCTCCTATCACATATGTAAAATTTAGAAAAGCAATATATCAAATTGAAGTTCTCGTGACTAGAAATCCAAATATATCTTTAGAATTATCGAAAATAAATGTATATGAACGTAAAATCGTTTTAAAACATAAATTTATCGGGTATAAGAGTTATATTGCATATTATTGCGTATAATCTCTTTTTGCTCCTATCATATTTGTAAAATTTAGAAAAGTAATATATCAAATTGAAGTCCTCGTGACAAGAAATCCAAATATATCTTTAGAATTATCGAAAATAAATGTATGTAAACACAAAATCATTTAGAAAAATTAATTTATGTGGTGTAAGAATTGTATTGCATATTATTTTTGACTTAGTATAATTGTTTTGCATATTTTAGATATAGAGGATAGAGTTGCAAAAAATTGACAACTTAAAGAATTTATTTGCACTAAACCCCTAAACTAATCATTAAAAGTTTGATTAATCTTGGAAACCTTTAATCTAATACACGTGGCTAGAGTAGTCTTTGGAAACAAACGCGTACGTAGTTGGTGTTCATGTAAGAAAAGGTTAGTTTGGTCGGTTTGGTGGTTTATACAAAAAGCTTACAATAGATTTTGTTAGCTGAACAACTTATATTGAGCAGAATAATTGAAATGATTTTTTTATGATTATATGTGTAATATAGAAGATAAATTTTATGTTGGCTGGTTTATCAAAAATAGAAGTTCTGTTTATTGGTCATCTATCGATTTTATTGCAACAAAAAAGTATTATACCTTCACTAATTTTTGGAAATGGTTTGGTGATAATCTGATACTAGGGATGGACTCGCACGTACGTGCGGGGATGATTGCAAAAGCTAAGTTTATCAGAAAGTTTGCAATATTCGGATCGACATGATAAGAAACCAGGATCAAGTGTGAATCGAATTAATGATAAGTTAGAAATCAATTAAATTTGCGAACTATTACATCACATAAAAACAATAGAAAACATTAAAACTTTTGAATAAAATAACATAAATATAGATGTCAAGAGAGTCAAACCCGTTCACTATGCATGTCGTGCAACAAAGTAAAATATTTTGGTCCACCCATATGAATAAATAATATGTCTTCTTGCATGTTACCCATAATTCTCTTCTGTATAATATTAGACTTAGTTAAGATAATAATTTTTATTTTCTAAATTACCCGTTATCTTTCCGTATCCGTTATTTTTTCCCGATATTTGAAATATTTAAGTAATTAGAAACTTACTTTTTGCTATTTAAATTTCATATTTCTGTATCATACGCGTCATTTGATATTTGAAAGTTGAAATTGAATTGAAGTTTTGTATATCGTCTTGTTTTTGATGAGAATTCATTTTGATATTTTTTTTTAATTACTTGTTCCTTTTTTTGTACCCGTTCTTTCCCTCTAAGATAAGATCATATTTTTTTTATTATAAATGACATCATTTACATGTTTTTTGTTTCAAAAATAACATTATATAGCCTGTAATTAACTAATTAAATTACCTGCCGTTCTCTTTTCATATCCGCTATTTCTTGTCCCGATATTTGAAAGATTTAAGTAATTTGAAACTTACTTTTGCTATTTAAATTTCATATTCTTGTATCATACCCGTCATTTGATATTTAAATGTTAAAATTGAATTTAAATTTCCAAATTTTTTATATCTTCTTGTTTTTGATGAGAAATAGTTTAGGTACTTTTTTTTTTTGAATTACCCGTTCCCTTTTTATACCCGTTAATTCCCTCTAAGATATGATCGTAATTTTTCTTTTATATCAATGAAATCAGTTACATGTTTTTTTAAAAAACAACATTATAAAGCTTGTACATAATTAACTAATTAAATTACGCGTTCTCTTTCTGTATCCATTTTTTTGTCCCGATATTTGAAATATTTAAGTAATTTAAAATTTACTTTTGCTATTTAAATTTCAAATTCATGTATCATACCCGTCATTTGATATTTGAAATTTAAAACTGAATATATGTTTCCAAATTTTTTATATCGTCTTGTTTTTGATGAGAAATAGTTTAGATTTTTTTTTTGAATTACCCGTTTCCTATTTGTACCCGTTTTTTACCTCAAAAATAAAATCATATATTATATATATACATATATATATGGCATCATTTACATGTTTTTTTAAATAACATTATATAGCGTGTAATTAACAACATTAAAAACCAATACCGTTAATTATTAGGCTGTTGAAACATATAGCCAGTAATTAGAGTGTATTGTTATTTTTTGTGTCACCACAAATTTAAAGAAATGTAACCAAAGAGTCACATTTATAAACTAAGAACTTATCTTGAACTAAATCATAAAAAAATGAATCAATTGAATAAAATATATATTAAATATTTTAGTAAGTAGCTATGGTAAATATAGATTAAGTTATGGAAATTCAAATAAATATTTGCTTCCATTTTTAATCATAATTAATTGATCTTTTTTATTTATTTGTAGCATACATTAACTTTTTACAAAATAAATGTATCATAAACTACTTGAATAAAACCATTAAACCAAATAGATAAAATACAATAAATTAGATTTTATTAAATATTAAATTTTTGTATAAAAATATCTCAAAAATCAAAATATGTTACATATGTAAATTTTCGAATTTAATTGTCCACAAATTAATATGATTTCCATAAATATAGGTTTTTTCTGTTTTTTATTATTTATTTATTTTTTAAAAAGATTTTGCTGTCATTAATTTTGTTTGGCAACATGTTTAAGTTTCATGACATTTTTAAAAAAAATTGGGGGCTGTTTGGCTTCTTATTGTACTTCCCAATTAATAGTATAGATCAACTTTTATCTTTAGATGAATTATGTAATTTTTTTTGTGATTTTGCAAAATAATTTTAATCAGTTCGTCAATTAGATAGATATTCTAGATGAAAAATGACCGATTAAATTTTGCTAAATTTAAAATTTAAAATTTTTGTTAATTAAATACAAAAATATATTTGACTTTCCCTGTTCTTTATTAATCCAATTTATAAAAGTAATTTGTTGAAAGCATACACTTTTTATATTTTATGTGCATTTTTCTTAGTAATTAATGATGTATTGTAAAATTATAAAATTTTGATTTAGAGCCTGTTATAAAAAAATTATTAATCACAAAAATAATCGAATAATAATATAATTTGTAGTAATATGTTTTTATTACGTGTAAAATTAGATTGTAATACGTGTGAAAAGTTTAAAAACGGATTAATAAATCGAATAATCATTAACTAGATGATGACCCGCACGTACGTGCGGGTGTATTTTCAAAGCATAGTTTGCTGGTTTAGTTTTCTTAAATAATGTAATGTGATTTGGCTTTTTATAATTTTTTTTATTTCATTTAGTTTG